GCAACGAGTAGTCTGTATCACAGTCCCTTAACCACATTAGTTTCCCTACTGCCAAGCCCTCTCTGCAGTGCTAAAGCCCTAAATAAAGCAAGTCTAGATTTCCTCAGGTTCTGAATCTCTGGTCCTTCTAGGGCTTCTTTTCAATTTAAATGGGCTTGTTTGTTATTATCAAAATAATATATATTCAGAGACTAAGCATTAGTCTAAGGGTCGAGTCTTCTTGGAGGTAACGGAAAGGGGCGAGTGGAGACGAATGGAAATAACACGAGCGGGTCACGAATGCACATCAACAGTTGTCTCTTAAACAGAGTTATGCCTCTTTGTGTTGAGTATTCGATAGATGGTAAAGTAGCAGTTTACCACGCGCTCACAGTAGCCCCATATTGAAATCCCTTTAAAATATCATGGAGAACGTTCTGATTGAAACACCACACATTCGCCATGCATGAGATGCTATTGTATGTTCGCCCTGTGGTGGGTGGGATGGTGTAAAAAAGAAGGTGAACAAGCCAGAGCATAAGGCTTGCCCCGTCGACATCAAACAAGAAGTTACGTCTCCCGTATAGAGTTACCTCCCTTACACCAGTAAGCCTATGTGGCTACATAAACTACAGTATTAAAGCTAGACCACACGATCCTGGATAAACGTTAAATTTAACCATAGAATAATGTCCTCAACAAGTTATAGAGATCAAACCTTTCTTTCCTTCTTCCCTTCCGTGTTTGTTCTGGGTGGTTGTCTCTTGCACTGCATCCTGAGGTTCCTGTACCTGTAATGATGCAAGGTAAGTTTAGCCCGACTGGTTGAGTAAATGATGCATAATATGACAAGCTGAGTATTTACCTGTTATGTTGCGTATACAGAGGAATATTCAACTGTCATGATGAGTATACAGAGGAGTATTTACCTGTCATGTTGAGTATACAGAGGTGTATTTAACTATCATGTTGAGTATACAGAGGTGTATTTACCTGTCGTGTTGAGTATACAGAGGAGTATTTACCTGATATGTTGAGTATACAGACGAGTATTTACCTGTCATGTTGAGTATACACAGGAGTATTTACCTGATATGTTCAGTATACAGAGGAGTATTTACCTGTCATGTTGAGTATACAGAGGAGTATTTACCTGACATGTTCAGTATACAGAGGAATATTTACCTGACATGTTCAGTATACAGAAGGGTATTTACCTGTCACGTTGAGAAAACAGAGGAATATTTACCTGACATGTTGATTATACAGAGTAGTATTTACCTGACATGTTAATTATACAGAGGAGTATTTACCTGTCACGTTGAGTATGCAGAGGAGTATTTCCCTGTCATGTTGAGTATACAGAGGAGTGTTTACCTTTCACGTTGAGTATACAGAGGATTATTTACCTGTCATGCTGTGTATGCAGAGGAGCATTTACCTGTCATTTTGAGTATACAGAAGTGTATTTTCCTGACATGTTGAGTATACAGAGGAGTATTTACCTCCCATGCTGTGTATACAGAGGAGTATTTACCTGACATGTTGAGTATACAGAGGAATATTTACCTGACATGTTCAGTATACAGAAGGGTATTTACCTGTCACGTTGAGAAAACAGAGGAATATTTACCTGACATGTTTATTATACAGAGTAGTATTTACCTGACATGTTAATTATACAGAGGAGTATTTACCTGTCAGGTTGAGTATGCAGAGGAGTATTTCCCTGTCATGTTGAGTATACAGAGGAGTGTTTACCTTTCACGTTGAATATACAGAGGATTATTTACCTGTCATGCTGTGTATGCAGAGGAGCATTTACCTGTCATTTTGAGTATACAGAAGTGTATTTTCCTGACATGTTGAGTATACAGAGGAGTATTTACCTCCCATGCTGTGTATACAGAGGAGTGTTCATTTGTCATGTTGAGTATACAGAGGTGTATTTACCTGTCTGGTTGAGTATACAGAGGAGCCGTTACTTGTCCAGTTGAGTATACAGAGGAGTATTTACCTGTCTGGTTGGGCATACAGAGGAGTAGTTGCCTGTCTGGTTGAGTATACAGAGGATTATTTTCCTGTCTGGTTGGACATACAGAGGAGTAGTGACCCGTCTGGTTGAGTATACAGAGGAGTATTTACCTGCCAGATTCAGTATACAGAGGAGTATTTACTTGATAGGTTAAGTATTCAGAGGAATATTTTTACCTGACATAATAAGAGTTAAATTCACAAGGATGCAGGAATACATGTCGTATTTACCTTGTTCTCTGCTGCTGCTGTCCTTGCATCTAAAAACAGAAATAAAGTGTTTACATGTTATATGCAGTGTTGAACTGACAGCATAGTTATTTATTTTATCTTTTTGGTTATAAATGGAAAATATGACTGATGGTGTACGTGTTTTATAATTTCACTGATGATTTGCAAACGTGCATGTGTTTCTCTAAGTAAATCTTTACAGTAAGACCTACGTACGCCAGACTACTAGAAGCATGCACTGTCTCGCTTATAACGTACGTTTAAGATGTCTGATATTGTTGTCCTTTTCCTCGATCACCTTATAGAGGTTTTGTATCTGAAATCAAGAATTACACTCGTGTAGTTTCGTCTGCTTATAGATGATGATGGAATTATGTCAATGAAACAGACAAACTTAATTATTTCACATTTAAATTCATGGCCTCTAAACAATATCCATACAGTGAAACCTCTTTGATTCGGACGAGTGTGTGTCCACTGCAATCACCTGTATGATCGATAGGACAAGGAGGGAGTGTATAACTATAAACGGTATACATTCACCATTTCCATCAGAGCTCTATAATGTCGCATAATGAAAAGTGTACTGTACTCAGAAACGGGTTCACTCATGCATGCATTCACCTTTTAAGGTTCTAATGTATCAGTCAATGACGTCTTTGATCTGAAGTTTTATTATCTATGAAAAGTTCTTATCAGCTACCAAATCTCCCATACACCCGAGTTTCACCCTTTTATAAATTCACAGGTTTCGTTGCACAAAAGTGCAAAGATTTCCAAAACCACTCACGTCAGTCATGCAGGATGAGTTTGATACATTTGATAAGTAACTAAACTGATAAGATGCATAGTGGGCCAAATATACTTTGACGCGTCTTCAGGTGACATGAGGTAATGGCTGATTTATGATGGAAATAACTACTGTCACTTGGAGAGTATATGCTGATAGGGGTTGTGTTTTCATTATTAATATGTTAAGGTATTTTGAATAATACTTGCCTGGCTTTGATATTCTTTATTTTCTCTCCGTAAATCTGAAGACATTGAGTGTGTATTATCATTTGCTTCGGAGGATATCATCTATAATAAACTTCTTGATTGCGCTGGAAGAGTTGCATAAAACATAAAAGATGGTTGTAGACATTTAAATCAAGTAGATAACCACAAAACATTTATAATTACGTACGTATATTCGCCTGATATAACGTTGCGTATTTTATTGTATTATGCATACCTTCACATTGGCGCTTTTGTTTTGCTTGTTCGACTTCTATTCTCTGCATCTGTAACAACATTAGTATTATATATTTGGCATTCATTCATCTAGTTATGAGAAGGCATCCACACCTTAGCTGTGCTAAATATACAAATATATATTTGACATTCATTTACCAGGTTACCAATACTAAATAAACAAACATGTGCTCATAATTAGACATATACTTTTTTTACTTCGTGTCAGTCATCAACAGGAAGTCTATCGTTAAATATGATATAATTGCAAATAGACTGCGTTTTCTTTGTTTAACACTGCAACCAGTACTATTGTCTGTACGGGTGTTGATTATTGAGGTGCTGCAAGAACGTATTGCTGGAAGCATTAACTAGAAAACATACTGATGAAAGGCGCGTTCAGTGTTTTGTGTTATGTCTGTGAAGGTGAAACTCGGTGTTTCCTCTGTGAGCAAGTGTAGAGGAGCGAGTCAGATGGGAGTGTTACCATAAGTCTCTCATCAAAAGCTCATACAAACACCTTCCATTCATCCCCTCACTATGAAGTTGATACAACAGAACATTGCAAAACTTCAGCCAACACCATTGTTACCTTCGTTTAACCACAGAAATGAAGGTATCAATGTGCTTTAGTGACAATTTACATTGACCCTGTACACGTGCAAGTACAGTCAAATCCCGATGAGTCGAATCGCTGGGGACCAAGTAATAAATTCGACTTATCGATGTATTCGAGACATAGGTATGTCTATGAGGGTAGAAAAGAAGATGATCCAGTCCTAATTCCTCCTCCTAAGCATTTGTTTATCTAATGATTTCCATATCACTTATAGGGGCACCTTATCAGTTCCAGTCTGATTAGCACAGACAGTTATTTCCGTAAAATCACTAATCTCCCTTTTGAACTCACCCGTCAATGGTGGAAAGGTGTGAGCCGCGCTGGTTTGTTAATTGGATCAGTTTGCTACACCAATCATCCTCTCATTGACTGACTTCGGCTTATGTATACAAGATTGCTGTTGTTTGAATCTCATGGGACCAAAGTTCCTGCTCGAGTCTTCGTGTGTATTTATTTTATGAGACGAATTCGTGTAACCGGAAATCAAATGATGACAACTATAACAGGGAATGGTCGGGATCGACAGGTACTTCGAGTTATGCATAATATTCGAGACACCGGCATTCGACTCATCGGGATTTGACTGTATGTTTAATATAAACAGTACCATGGCCATTGCATTTGTGAATTAAGTATGTCTCGAAAAATGGCGACAACACAGATTTTATAAACATGATATTCACAACAACAACAACAACAACAACAAAATTACCATCCATAGTGAAAGTAGGAAATGAAAATGATACTTGTGAAAAAACAAAGAGATAAACGTTGAGCTTTGGCATTAATAGGGAGAGCACTGGTAGACAACCGTAATGAATGGGTGAGTGAGTAAAGTCTGACACTCTCTGGCAAAACATTTACACGTTCAATACTCTTCAAAATGCAATATAGGAAAACCTGCCTTTTCAGCGAGTGCTTTCTGATCATTCTTCCGATCTGAAAAAATAACATGATTTGCGGTTGTATTTAAATGGAATCTCAATCTTTGTCTCTGTGATATTCCTTGATTTAAAAACAGTTAAAATGAAGAATACACTAAAATTATACATTGGACTTTCATCACCTGTGTAACTTCAACCAGCTGTTCGGCCAGCTACATCAGTACCAGTAACTTATTATTTGGGGTTGTTTTTTGTTTTCAGTTAGTTGTGACGAATAATCCTGATATTACAAACAAGCAGCTTCGACTAATTAGTTCACTCAATTACTTTAAGGACATCCCAAATTCAATGAAATGAACAAACCTGAAAGGTCTTTTCTCAACTGAAGAACCTGTAAATAGAAACGAGTATACAAGAATCATACCTCTTAATGTTAACTTGAAACACAGTGTAATGTACGATCTGAGTGGACTTTATCTGCTCCATCTACTGACGAAAGTCACCATACATTCGAGAGAAAGATCTGCTCTAACCTGAGGTCAGCCTTCAGGCAACCTCACTGTGACTTCATAATTCTGAACTCGCCTTCAACGGAGTTAATATGACACTTGCTAATAATACAGGATATTACCAAAACGGGAGTACATGCTCAAAATGATCAGCCACTAACCCCATAATACATCGAAACATTGTACAGCCAAAAGTTCTACGATAGAGGCTGACACATGCCAAATCTGGAAGGGATCTGTTTATAAATTCCCCCAAAATGTATTTGATATAGTTGGGACTGCTCTAAACCACAGGGACACAAGAAGCATTTCATATCTTCAGTCCTCCATCTCTTCAGCCCTCCATCTCTTCAGTCCTCCATCTCTTCAGTCCTCTATCTCTTCAGTCCTCCATCTCTTCAGCCCTCCAGCCCTCCATCTCTTCAGCCCTCCATCTCTTCAGTCCTCCATCTCTTCAGCCCTCCATCTCTTCAGTCAGGCTACGAACATATCATCTGTAAACCCCCTGCGCCTAAATACGATGCAGTGTATTTGGATGAACTATTTGTTCTAGCGTTATTTGATAAAAGAGTTAGAGGGAGCTAGCACATTATGTGGCATTCATCTGAGCAACAGGACCTGATTTTCCAACAGTACTTGGTGCTTTAAGTTCTATAGTAACCATAAAGTAAATGTTGAGGAAACCAAGTGTAATAATCATACCAATCTGTACAGTTCCGCAATGTTCTCCTTTTCATCTATAAAAAAGAATAGTATAGGTATACCTTGATATTAGGCAATAAAAGAAAACAAAAGACCAAATATTTTCCTTGTGTATAGTACGTGTAACAACCCAGATATATTTCATGTGTGGTTACTATCTAATTCATCTATTTACATAGCTCTAGTTTCCATGTGACATTATAGGTCCTGAAGAACATGAAACTATTCTTACCTTTTACATCAGTGCCATATTTTGTGAGATTCTGTATCAGGTCCCGCACCTACAATTAATACAAGGAAATAACCTGAAGTCAATTGTCTCTGAATCGTAGATCCTGTGAATACGTGTATGGAACATACAAAGTACTCTACATTTTGTCAAACTGGTCAGATGCTAGTGAAAGATCAATCACATTAGAATAAGGTATCACATATGCTTGCCGGTTATTCTTCCCTCACTCGCACCGAGAAGGTTAGAACCCTCGACAATGATTGGTAGTATTGAAAGGTTCCCTGACTCGACCTGTTATCACAGGTGTCCTCAGATCTCTAATTGAATATGTCATTGTCAGTACACCACAACATTAACCTTCTTGTATTCTTATCTATCTTCTGCTATGTTTAGGTACACTATGTTTAGGACCCGTGAAGTTCCGGGTTAGAATATTGATCTTCAGTAACCCATGCTTGTCGTAAGAGGTGACTAAGGGGATCGGGTGGTCAGGCTTGCTGACTTGGTTGACACGTGCCATCGGTTCCCAATTGCGCAGATCGATGCTCATGTTGGTGATGACTGGATTGTCTGGTCCAGACTCGATTATTTACAGACTGTCGCCATATAGCTGGAATATTGCTGAGTGCGGCGTAAAACTGAACACACTCACTCACACTATGTTTAGGTAGTCTTCTTGAGTGACTTCACAATACATACATATAACTGTTGATTTAAAAGGTACCTGTTTTTCCAGTGCCGGGATGGCATTTGATGTATCTGTAGATTGAAATGAAAGACATAAGACATTTGTTCAATACACTTCATACTTGAGTATGGTCCTTATCGTCGTTGACTCTATGAGTTTGTGAAAAAAAGAATGGACAAAAATATTGATATCCAAGACGCAGGTGGTAACCATGGTGATATATAGGATGTGTAATAATATTGTGTGTACTAATATTCCTTGATTTTGTTTGACAGTTGCTTACCTGTTTCTGGTTACTCCCATTCCTACGAGCAATCATTAAGTACATCCATTAAATGTTTGGGTTGGTTGGTTTTTATATAATCCCGTTCAATGATGAACATTGCTAGAATAGCTGCCACTGAACATCCCGTGAAATGTTGGAATAACTAATGACTCCTAACCGATTATACTTGGCCCGGCACCATTTAGCATTCATCGTGTCCACTAGTTATTCAACCTACCTTCAACAGTATCTTTGAGCACTTCAAGTCTTATTTCAGCTTTTTCAATCTGCAAATGTGACACAACCTCTCAGTGCAATCACAGATGTAGTATATCATATCATTACGGGTTGATTCCCCCCGTGGAAACTAATACAGAAGTTAACCGTGAATCAGTCCGTAAACAAACAACAAAGCAATGTCATAATATTAACAATTCCTCCCTGGATATGTTGTTTGCAACACTATATTGTATACGCATGTGTACAAACATAAGTCCTACAAAATAGCAAGATATAAGAATTAATGTTTTACTTTTTATGTTAACAAATATTTGTCAGAATTAATTAATTACCTGTTTCTTTAGTTCCGGTATAACGTTTTCCTCCAACTCTGTATAAACAAACAAGTACTGCTGTCAGTTTTCAAATCATTTTAGTGATTACGTAAATGTTTAACTTCAACTATTTCACAACATTCAAAAATAATCTTCAAAAAAGGGTGCACTTGCAAAATCATTATTCCAATTCTTTTTCTAAAAACAGAGATACACAACTGACAAATTATCTTGTAGTTTGCTACTCACTTGCTATTTCGTCTTTCTTGAGTTCAATATCGTCAATCAGCTTACGTATCTGGAACATATCGTACATATTTATCGACATAGGAAGTTGGATTACACTGTGTATAGGTAGAAGTACAAACCCGCTCTATTATGTTTAGTGAGTGAGAGAGGGGCGGTGGGGTAGTCTAGTGGTTAAAGCGTTGGCTCGTCACGCCGAAGACCCGGGATCGAATCCCCACATGGGTACAATGAGTGAAGCCCATTTCTGGTGTCCCCCGCCGTGATATTGCTGGAATATTGCTAAAAGCGGCGTAAAACCAAACTCAGTCAGTCAGTCAGTTAGTGAGTGAGGGTGTGGGTTGACTGAGTTCTATGTTACCCTCAGTTCATTTAGTGACCTTCAGTTTGTTTAGTGAGTGAGTGGATGAGTTGGTTGACTTCAATGTCATCTTCTGTCTATCAAGTGTGCGTTCACTTTAATGTCACCTTCAGTGTTTTAAGTGGGTGAGTGAGTGGATGGATGTATAAATGTGGATTTGGTCTATTTGGAGAGCAACATTGCAGTTGTATGTTTAAAAGCTCAATTAGGTTTCAGCATCAACAGGTGATCGATTGCATCTTGTGTTTGTCCTTGCTGAGTTGTTTGTCAGAAATGTTTGCATGTTTTGATGAGGGCTTTATGTACAGTAGTTTGAACTTTCAGGTCAGTCCGATTGAATAGCGAGCCATCTGTTCTTCGCTCTGCAGTCTCTCAATGTGGAGAGCCGGGTTCGATTCCTCACATGGACATTTCTGGTGTTCCCAGCCTTGATATTGCTGGAATATTGCTAAAAGCGGCATAAAACCAAACTCACTCACTCACTTAGTTTGATGCCTCTTTGGCTAGAATCTGATTCTGCAGCAGTCGTCTGGTGATCAGTTGTCCCTGGCACCAGTGCTTCCAACAAGGTGTCTCCTGGACATCTTGTGCTGAGGCTTCGTCCAGGAAAAGGAATTGGTGCTGCACAGACAGTGGTGTTGGCACAGCTTGAGAAGCCACCAATCTTCATTCATCTTGTCAGTTCCACGTTGACCCGATAGCACTTTCAGGAATCATGGTCAGTAGTTTCTGTTCTTGACTGTTGATCCACTTGAAGACGATGAAAAGTTGGCTGTAGAAACTGGAACTCCTTCTTTGTATAGAGGACCATACCCTATTGACCCACCCACTGCTGTACTTTCTAGCTTAATCAGTCCCTGTGTACAGCAATGTCCACTTGCAATCATTAGGGTTTGTTATAGATTACAGAGGTCTTTTCGGTCTGAGGTCCGCTGACAATCTGGTTGTCATGGTGTAAATGAGCTGGTATGGGTTGCGGCTCACATCTTGCATCATATTTGTTCAATGGCAATAGTATTTTAGCGGGACGCCTTTTTGATAGCCTCCCTTGGCTGTTTATTTTAGTTTTGTCATGTCGCATGTTCGACGAATTCCGATAACATTCTGAGTGGATAATGATGCTGCCTAGTTTTGCTAGAATGCTCGAGAACTGTGTGTAAGAGCTATATAAAGGCTGGTTGCTGCGTTGTGCGACGGATTTATCACATGACTGGAGTTATACACATCTGTCTGCCGTCATCTGCGTACCGTCGTCAAGTCTGTCTGCCAACATTTCAAGACCGCCTATTCGTCTACTCTCATTGTAAACAACCTTCAATAAGTATATCTGCTCTCAATGTCAATGTCAATGAGTTAATGTCTAATATTTGTGACCCAATATTTTAGATTTGTGACTCAATTGCATTGTACTAGATATCTGTATTGTCATTCATTGTAGTTTGCTCATTGTTTGCTCAATATATTATTGAATATTTTAGACTTGTCTGTGTTCTATTTTGCAGGTTTAAAGGGGACTTATAAACCTTTATCACGGCAAATCATTAACCGTAACACATGTAACAGGGTGTGTAAGGTTTATCTATGCCTAAGTACTTAAGGTAATGGGGAGATTCCTTTAAGACACATAGGCTAGTGTTTGGGGATAAAACTATAAATACTTGTCGTCTGGGGTTAGCTTAAGGCACTCAGGACAAGGGTCGCCCCAGCATTGGTCCAGAGTGAAAGATCTACTGATGAGAGAGAGGGAGCGAGCGTGAGAGTTTAAGACAAAGACAGGGTGGGTGTGAGAGCAGAGAGAGAGAGAAGCTGAACTGGGAGGCTGGTCCATGTGCTTCATCACACAGAACATTTCTGAATACAGAATGAACTGTATACACTCGTGTGTGTTATATTGTTAGACCCATCCCACTTAGTCACACATAAGTAAAGGCCAAAGACATTATTGCTTGTTATCAGGGACGTTGGAAGAGCTGTCTTTGGGGTTTTGAAGACAGCAAAATACTGTCTGAGGGACTTCTCTCAGGTTTCCCCATGTATGCTACAGTAGAAAAGGCAACAGTTTGTAGTGAGCTATCCTTCTGGAAGCAGAAACAGCCAATTTTGACGGGACCCCTTGTCTGCAGATCTGATTTAAAAGACGGCCCTTGTCCAAAAACCACCCTGGCCTTAAAGGTGATGGTCATGATGTTTGCATGTCTACTATGTTGTGGACTGGCTCAGTTAACTCTAGACGTGCTTTAGACAACTTCGTATATTCTATATACTTTGTATATACATCTGTTAGAATTGTATTTACCTTCTTCTCGATGTTTTCTATGTCCTCACGTTTATCTGAAAATGTAACAGATATGTCAGTCATTTCCTCTCTAGGCAATATTTCAATACAGACACTTTATATTGCAACATTCAAGTTCTGATAAGAAGTCTGAATACCATATGTTTGTTGTTGGAACGTTTCCACTTCCTCTTTCAGTTTCTCAATCTGAAATTCAAAATATGAATAAATATGTATATATTTGACAATACACCATGGTTACTTTCAACAATATTCTGTTTGCTTCAAGTAGGTGTAAGATCATGAAATCAGTAGGAAAATACATTATCAGTGGAGCAACTGACTTGTGACACTGTATCAGTTCACTCATTGAGACACGCAGGCTTATCTTGAAAGTCTTCGTTTGAACATTGTATCTATCAAATTGTAAAGGACGTGGAATGCTGTGGCAAGTTTGTCATTTCAGCCTTCATGTGTAATGTTTCGCTGTGCGGCTACTCACATCTGCTGATAACCCAGTCACTAAGATAACATTAGAACACCGTATACCTAAATATAGAGCAGACTTCAGCTGGCCAATGGGTCATCAGAAATGCTATATTTCGTGTTATTACACACGTGTTGTGTCCGATGGGAGCCAGTGTGGTATAATGCATATATTTCCCTAGATCTATGTTCAATAGTATACACTTAAGAATTGATACTATACACTGAATCTAAACAGAACATCAAACATAGTTCGTAGTCAGAAACTGTATCATTTTTTGCCTTGCGTTTACTATACATTTTGGCAAAGAAATGTAAAAAAACAGGCATAAGATTACTAGGGTGAACATTCAGGTCATTGTAAAATTTTGGATCATTAAACTCATTCTTTCCTTGTTTGTATACAATGAGTGCGTCCCAAAGTTGGGAAACGGAAAAAACGGACCCCAAACAAAATTCGAGAAAACGGCCACGGCGTTGGAGAGAAAGGCCTCCGAACATGGCAAAGACGGCCTCCGTGTCCAGAGAAAACGGCGAACATAGTTGCACTAAGACCTTTACGTCTAATCTAACATAATTCGATGGGAATTACTCACCTTCGATTCCAGATTTTTAACTTCATGTCTTCTCTCTGTTGATAGGGAAATCATTTTTAAATGGGTATAAATTTCAATTAAATTCATATATGCTATTAATGTTTTATAACAAAACATATCTTAATTTATGCTTCCCTGATCTTGTTTATATGATACTTTCGCATTTGTGACGTTAGCATGGATTACAAGTGACATACAGCATTGACATACAACTGAGGACATTTTACTTTTATGATCGCCGAAGGTCTCTATCACTGCAGCTTTGTTTCTTCTTGATACATTGGCCCCAGCCTGCAATGCCCCAAAACTTACATGTGGTGAACAGTTGACCAATAACTTGTGGAGGTGGAATAGTTTCTGTATTTGTTTAATTGGACAATTTATGTGGTCACAAAGGCAGTTTTATCCCACCACAGTTTTCAGGCAGCCATCCATTTTCGGTGTATTTACACAACAGACTCAGATGGATCAGAAGCCATAAGTACAGTTATGATGTGGAAATCTTTTGATGGACACCTACCTCGTTTTTGACGCTCCTTTACCGACAGTTCTCCGCACAAATCCCGGGGCTAAAATACAAAACCATGTGTGATTATTTCATATCATTAAAACAGATTAATATTTTCTAGGCTGTCTCCCAACTCTCCCTGACACATCCATGAAATTAATCCTGCGGAGGGCGGTGGGATAGCCTAGTGGTTAAAGCGTTCGCTCGTCGCGCCGAAGACCCTGGTTCGATTCCCAATATGGGTTCAATATGTGAAGCCTATTTCTGGTGTCTCCCGCCCGCCGTGATATTGCTGGAATATTTCTAAGAGCGACGTAAAACTAAACTCACTCACTCACTCATCCTGCGGATTGAGGGCTTGTCTCTGGAAGTGACTTTGAGTTAAATGAGCTATACGTACATAATTCCTATAACGTTTCACAAGCTGCAGCAAAAGCTCACGAGAGTAGTTTGCAACTGTGAGCATATATACTGAACCGCAAAAGAAACGTCACCCTACCAAAATTGTTGCCAGATATGTTTCTTCTGAATGTTAATTTATTTTTCAATATTTATATTTTAGCTCGACCTGGTTCGAGCAAATGTTTACTAAAATATGGTTTCAGGTTTATGCTGTATTTGATACAAAAATCATGTCATCCCTAAAGAAGCCACCGATTACTAAAGTGGAACGAGGTTAATGTGCACATGCGGCTTATTTCATGAAAATGACAATGCACGATGGTCTATCCCTATATCCTTCGAAGATCCATCGAACATTGACTGCCGAAGTCCAGTAGTAGTAGACGCGAGTTCGAAACGGGGTATCAGTGGTTTTGCCGCACATGCGTCGCTCAGATGGTGGTCTTAACGGCGGGCCTATTTCCATCGTTGCTATGAAATAAGTTCGAGCCCATCGCCCTTAAAAACGACGATGGTCTATCGAGCGAAGGTTTTAAAACCGGTCACTGTTAAAAATTTCAAGGGAACCAGTCTATACTGAAAACAATTTTTAGCCAACTGGCTTTTGGACTGGATGTAAATGTAGCCGTAATATTCGGCAACGACTTTATGGAGTGGGTCTTCCATGAACTCGTCCAAGTAAGCTACGGAGTAGGTGGAGTACGGGGCGGTGTCTTCCCTGGTTGTCAGGCTATAATCGATTAACGTTTCCATGAGACGCTGTAACTGTTCGGTGCCCAAGAGACCTAAACTATTGTACAGACTGGTGACTTATGACTCGACGCAGGGCGGCATAAATATTGAGGCCACTGACGTCCACCCCGATGCGTCTGAACAACCGTTTCTCGATTAATCTCCACCTGTTGATAATGAGATACATAAGACGAATCTTTACTGACTGACTGACTGAGTTTGGTTTTACGCCGCATTTAGCAATATTCCAGCAACATCATGGCAAGGGACACCAGAAATGGGCTTCACACATTGTACCCTTGTGGGGATTCGAACCCGGGTCTTCGGCGTGATGAGCCAATGCTTTAACCACTAGGCTACCCCACCGCCCGACGAATCTTTAATAATAAGTGTGCAATCCCATTTCTTGAGGGACGCTCATCAATTCCTCTTGGACAAATACCCTACCCCCGTCTGTCTTGCAAGTAAAACAAACTCGTCTTTGATGACCACTCAGTCGACGCGGTACATTTTCATGGACCATACGGGGTCTGTGGTGTGACGTTTATCCCCTCCTTCGAGTTCACCGAGCTGGTACAGATACCTCAAAATGATCCGGTCCGGAAGTTTTTTCTCTTGGCCATGACGCGATGGCACAGCCGATTCGGTCGTCATGGATTTCATTCGAATGGCTTCGACGGGTCTTTTATCGAGGAGTCGAGTGACTTTGTTGTTGATCGCTGACACCACTCGCGGTATGCGGACCACCCATTCTGTCAATCGTTTTTCTTGGTTTACCATCTCTTGGGCATACTGATGTCCAAACAAACGCTAGGCTAAGCCACGCCTCGCCTCACCTGGACTTTATGCTTCGATAACAGCTGCGACACAGCTCCCATGAACTCGCGTCCGGGATCGACTTGTAATTCGGTCGGCCAGGTCAAGCGATTGCGTTTGTAGATGTGTTCTAAGGCCTTGGCGACTTGACTCGAATCTTTGGTCGTCAAGGACTCCGCTTCCTTGTAGCGAATGGCGACGTCAACGACGGTCATGGTGTACTTGTGCGTTTTGTTTCTCACCCTGTCGTGTGGAAAAACAGGAGATCGGCTTGATGGGTTCGATTGGGTATGGAAATGTCATACTTTCTTCTCGGGATGTATCGGGGAGCTGGCAGGTACACTTGCCAGATGGCTTGTTTTTTAAGCCAAGCTTTGGCGGTATCCTCGGAGACGCGAGCGGTTTTGGCTAGCTTCAGGATGGCGCTCACATCTTTCCAGTAACCCCGAGGGCTGTAGTAAACCTTATCCATGATGTATACATGCTATCGTTCATTCAAATGTCTGGATGCATCGAGTGGAGATTTCTTTTGGGGGGGGGGTCTCAGAAACACCCAATGCGTCGAGGTCAACTGTTGGTACCCATAGCTATAAGTGTGGATGCCATCATTCGTAATTCATCGTTTGGTATCCAGGGGCAACAGCGAGGTCTTGTTTAGAGTGATGCCATAGATGTTGTGTTTGTCACCTCTCAACGCGTTCATGGGGTGTTTGAACGTGCGTTTATCGAATGGAGCCTGTTTGAATAGGGTGTGTTGGATGTGTCGTTACACCACGTATTTCTTCACCGTGCATTCGTCCTTCATCTTGCCGAGGATTTATTGGTTGTTCTGTGTAGGGTGTTGTCTGGGGGATAATCGCTGGTGTCATACAAGTGGCTGTGTTTTGCCATGTCCTCGTACGCGTCCTCGGTACAAATTTCCCTGAGCAGTGAATCCGTGTCCGTGCACAGCACTTCACATCGATCGCCGTACTGTGGTTGTTATAACAGTCGCACATTGTGTGCGATCGCGGGGACACACAAGGATTCGACGAACCTGGTACGGTAAACGCCTTGTACGTCCTGCACTTGCAAGACAACATGTACCAAGGTTGAGAAGTCATCGTCGAATTGAACTGGTTCATCAATATAGTCCTGACCTACCCCTATCTCGTCATGGATGAGGATGGTCATATCCTCAAACTAAAAAAAATAAGGGGGTTGTACTGAATACTTTTATTCCAGGTACAAAAAAGTGGATGTACGTATCACAATTACAAGATCAAACGGGTAATACAGTGGAAACCTGATAAGTAAAATTTCAAGGGACTCGCCAAAATTGTTTACTTATCAGGTATTTTACTTATCCAAACTTATAAAAACCTGCAAATGAGAACCATATGCATGTATATGTATGCATATGTAACAATGAACAACTTATCAGGGATGGCCGTGTATTGTCAGCTGCAAGCTGTAAGTATGATGTTTGTTTGACTGGAGACTGACACGACTGCCCCTCATGTCGGATTATGTGGTGATCGCTAATTTAGTTATCCAGTCTCTTTTGTTAAGTAATTTACTTCCAGGGACCACGAGAAGACGTTTAGTTAAGTGGTACTGTTGACTTAGCCGAGTTTAGTTAACCAGACTCTAATAGTAATAATTAATGAAGAAATTTGCCGGGACCAAAGAAAAGTGTTTACTTATCAGGTCTGTTCAGTTTAGCGGTCTTTACTTAGGCGGTTTCCACTGTATGTTAGTCGTCCGTCCGGAAAACAAACATAAATGGTTAGAATAAAGAAGATATACTGAAATCCCAGAAATGTGGATCAGAGCGATACAAGGTTCTACAGTTATTATTGAAGCTTTTCAAAGAGATGCCCACGCAGAAGATGTGAGCATTCTGTTGGGGTTAAAAATACGCTGGTACGATATCCATCAAAATAAACGTTGTCGTATTTATATACAACCAGGAAGAGCCCCCACCACAAGCCTCGAGTGGGGTCATAATTTTTTCGAAGCCTCACATTTTACTCAACTACATTCATTTATCCGAGCACATGCACCTCATCAGCTTAAAGTACATTGATTGAATATTGACGGAGGACCAATTGAAGCTTATTTCCTAAATTATAATACACTCGAGATGGGATTGTATCCGGCTATGGACGACGTGGCTCAAACGCTCGAAACTTTGGATGGATTTCGTTTGTGACAGATCAGCGAAATTAAACACCAATTGGAATGAGATCGTGAGGTGCAACTCTGATAGCACAAAAAATACAATTGAGCCATCAATGACATCGACAGTGTGGACACATCTCTCGTGGCAGTTAGCATGGGATTAGGCATAGCAGGTGTTGGCTTAATATCCACCATCATGGCCACACCCGTCGTCCTCGGGTTAGAAATAACCACGGGGGTATGGGGGCTGGCGGAGTAGCCCTTAAATTCATTTCACGTCGTCTGCAATGGAAAGTGCTGAAGCATGACGAGATCAGGGTTCTGGACGAAGCCAAGTTAAACATGGTCAACGATCATATTTCCAACGTGATCACCAATAGCAAAATCTCCGAGGAAGAGTTTCATTTGGTGACGTCGGAAATCGCGAAATACCACCAAATGAAAGAAGAGACTCGAAAAACCACTGACATCAGCAAAGACGAAAAAAAAGCTCATAGAACAGCGTCGACAACAAATCATTCAAACCTTCCTTACCAAGAACAAAGATCTCATCAAAGATTCACCTTAAACTATTTTGTTGATGTAAACATAACCGAGTAAAAAAACATAGACCCTCATCGTACTACTACTTTTCAAGAAACCCACATTAGGTCAACCCGACCGTAGGCAGTCAGGCGAGAGCAGCTAGGCAACAGCTACTGTTATATCAATGCACATCAAGCAAACTGTTTTTTGTAGATTTTAACATTGCTATATATAACTCATATGCTTTTCAAGCTTATGTAACCCGATTTTAAAATAATTGATTGTGGCTTCTAAAAATGTTTTCAGCGTCTGGTTTAAAACATCCTTTTCACTACAACCAACAGGCAACCCTAATACAGCTGAGTGTCTTGCTTTGTATTCCATACCCGCGTGAGAGGCCACAGCCAGAGAAAAACTCTAACATCAGGTCTAGACGGCGTTGCTAAGCTCGACCGCCATCTTTGTTGGGCTTAGCAACGATGCTGGATCTGCCAGGCCCGCCGTTACTATGCTGGACGGCCATCTTTGTTTAACTTAGCAACGACGGTGCTTGTTTCACTTGCAAAAACTTCCACCAATACCCAATCTCGAACTCGCATCACTGGATTTCAACTCCTATGCTCTACCATCACACCACCGGGACTGCCAATCAGCCAATATTCGGAACTTTGGGTCTAGGCTGGCGGCACATCGAAGGATGCCTCTCGATAGACCATCGTTGTTTTCAAGGAGGACTGGGGAACTTATTTCATAAAAATAAGCCTCTAGGCAAACGCACGCGCGCATGCGCGCGCGCACACACACACACACACACACACACACACACACCCTCTACTACTACTCAGAATCATTCACTGTTTGACAGTAGCGACATGCCACGATTATCAAGGGAACAGAGGGACCAAGCTTTAGGAAGACTGAATGCTGGCCAGACTGCAAGACATGTTGCAAATCATGTTTCTGTTCATGTTCAAACAATATACTGCCTGTAGCAACGAGTCCAAGCCACTGGAAGCACAGCCGATCGTCCTCGCAGTGGAAGACCACCTGTGACAACGTTGAGGCAAACTCTGCAGATTGTCCGTCATCACCTGCAAAATCGTTTCGCTAGGGCTAAGGAAACTGCACAGACAACCATTGGCAATCACCAGAGACCAATCAGCGCCGACACAGTGCAGAGGCGTTTGAGGCAGAGAAACGTCAGACGTCGCAGGCCTTACCAGGGTCCGATCCTCACTGTTCGACATCATCATGCTTGTCTCCATTGGGCCACACATCACCGGGAGTGGCAAACAGTAGTCTTCTCCAACGAAAGCCGATATTGCGTCTCGACGGCTGATGGCAGAGTGAGAGTGTGGCAATGATGCAGGGAGCGTTTTGCAGATGATTGTGTCCTGGAAAAAGACTCGTGGGGATGTCCGAGCATAATGGTGTGGAGTGCTATTGCTCTCAGTCACAAACTAGGCCCTATGGTGTTCCAGAATAATGGTCCTGGTAGGGGAAATAGTGTAACATCTACCTGCTACATTGATCAAGTGCTTAGACCCTTCGTCGTGCCACATTTTGGTCGTCATGGAAACCACGTTTTCCAGCATGACAACGCGCGTGCCCATACTGCCAGAGCAACTACAGACTTTCTCCGTCAACACGGCATACAAACTCTTCAATGGCCTGCCATCAAACCCGATAGAACACTTGTGGGACGAGATTCAGAGGAGGCTCAACGATGTGCGACCAAGGCCGACAAATGCAGCTGAACTCTCTCAGGCGTATCACCGAGTATGGGCACAAGTTCCTTTGGCCTTCATCAACCGTTTCATCCACTCCATGTACAGACGATGCAACGCTGTTGTCAACGCTCAAGGAGGCCATACACTTTATTGACTTTCGGATTGCACTGTCCCGCCACATGTCGTCATTTGACTTGTCATTGTCTGTAATTCGTCTTTGAGTATTGATTATCAAGCATGTCAATTTTGAAGTCGTTCCGACAATTATTATGTCATTTACATGTGTTTGATTTAAACTGATTACCAATTTCATAAAGGGAGGGACGTTTTTTTGCGGTTCAGTATACTATGCATAGGAAAGATTTGACACAAACCAATCCATGCTGAATTCCAACATGTGGGGGAATGGTTGCCGACGACAAAGCGTTTAAAAAAGAAATGTTGAACAAAAACGTAACGTTACACTCACGTGTGTAGTGAATCGCTTTAGTGAAATGCACGTGCATCATGAAATTGTGTATCATCTTGAGCTGAAGCCTATGACTGTAAAAGCCACATCAATGGTACTCTACATGCATTGTTTTAAGCCATTATAGACGACAAGAGAATGAAAAGACTGACAGAAGTTCAACGACACAACGCCATCGGCCGTTTACAAGGACGGGTGTCGTAGCACGGAGTTGCAAGGCCAGGGCTCCAAATAATTTCTCAACATCAAGAGTACGTACTCCTTATTTTTTCAATATAGGAGCACTGGAAAACCTTAAGAGTACATTTAGAGCACTGAATGGAATGTAATGGTGTATCAGTAATCTTGTGTTTCGTTTCATATATGCACCACAACATTGCTACTCTTGTGTAAACAGGTCAATAGATAATAAAACAATACTTTTGCAGATGAATACGTCTGATAATGATTCTAAGACCGTACAGCATTGCTGTGGTGCGTATCTGCTACGTTTTCTCATTTTTTCCTTCCGTATCCTGCATATTTGTTATCTGTAAATACGCTGAGACGGCCCTTACCTGGAGCCCTGCAAGGCACTTCAGCGTGTTCAGAAAGACCATCTCAAGCCTATGGACCCGATACAACAATCCAATTCCTGGACTGCGCCGAATCTCCGACCAGACAGTGCTCAATTTACTCTTGTGTAAACAGGTCAATAGATAATAAAATGAATGCAGACCGTATAGCATTGCTGTGGTGCGTATCTGCTACGTTTTCTTATTTTTTCCATCCGTATCGTGCATATGTTTTACGCTGATACGGCCCTTAACTGGAGCCCTGCAAGGCACTTCAGCGTGTTCAGAAAGACCATCTCTAACCTGTGGACCCGATACAACAATACTGGGAGTGTTAATGACAGACCCAGGTCAGGTCGACCTAGAGATACCACCACAACGTCCAGGATCGCTACATCCGGTTGAGACATCTTCTTTCAAACACCACGGCCGCATCATCTACAACAATCCAATTCCTGGACTGCGCCGAATCTCCGGCCAGACAGTGCGCAATTGGCTACAGGAAGCCAGACATTTTGCCAGAAGACCAGATCAATGTCACGTCATTCCTTCCATCAACGTCAGCGTTTGATTTTTGGAGTATGACAATGCACGACCTCATGTTGCTCGTGTTTGACAGGACTTCCTCCAGCAATGTTCAGGTGTTACCTGAGCCTTCTCGATCACGCGACTTGTACCCCATTGAACATCTATGGAATACTCTTGATCGACGTTTGCGCCACCTCAGACACCACAAGAACTGCACACAGCACTTCAGCAAGAGTATCAAAACATTCCTCAAGACAGCATTCGGCATCTCCTTTCTTCTGTGGGTCACCGATGACCTGGTGGTCACCCCAGATACAGACATTTTACTCTGACCAAGTGGCTTTAATAGCCCTCTGTGGTTTTACACTTTCTGGGTAATCATGTTTTGGAATACAAGTGGTGATTTTACTGTAATTGAACAATGATGTCATGTTTTAATCAGTTATATGCACTCTGTACATAAACTCCAAAACAGCATGTATAGAGTATATATTTGCTCCACGTGCGATCTTTGCATGATTTAGTGCATTTCGCAAATGACTGTATGTGTCTCCCATACAGTCCACGTGTTTACTGTCATTGTGTAAAGTGTTACATTGTTTCTGTTGATATCCAGTAGGGAGGAGTCATGTTCAATGTTTAGATTTGATCTATGTGCAGATTTTCCAGATTATATGTACATACATATTCACACTGGATACTCAGCCAAAGCTATTTTAGAAACTGGACCCCTCTTACAGTAAAGGGAATAATACCGTCTGTCTCTATCACTTTAATCACTGGTAGGCCTAAATGTTCTTTGCAATGATCTTTGTCCCAACAGGAGGACAATAATTTTACAATTTGATCCATATGAGATCATGTTCTAACTCCCTGGTCTGTGCCTGGTTCATGGAGTCGATGAGCTACAAGAACTGAATCATCAGTTGAAGGAGAGATGTTGACTTTATGGATTCCATATTGCCAATGTACTGAAGCATATCAAGGCGGACGGTAAGACGCATGTTATCACACACACACTGAGTAGGTTAATGCTTGAATTGTTTGAAAGTCCTACTTATGAGATAGTATCACCTAATTAGGAGATAGCTAAGTGCTAATTAGGAGATAGTATCACCTAATTAGGAGATAGCTGAGTCCTAATTAGGAGATAAACAAAATCAGACTGTGGCACTTTGAGGCTTCTGTAGGTACGCTTCAGATGCATCGTTTGGCCGATCTAACAAAACCACAAAGCGCTCCCGATCATCTGATTGGCTTTGCTTGACAGACTGAATTGGTCTATCGTGGTGGAGTCGTAAATTCCTCGTATCGTAGAATCAGTCGGACAAACAAACTCGTATATAAAAATCAGAGTAGAAACATATCTATGTTTCAGGAAACAAAACCTGCCTCAACTTGCCGTTTCTGAAACCTTCGTTGTATGTTCAGTTTACCCTACGTGGGGACACGTATACACACATGAACACACATTAACATGCTTGTACTTAGTAAAGCATCCACATCTTATGTCAACATCATGAGCATCGATCTATGTAGTTGGGATACGATGACATGTGCTAACCAAGTCAGCGAGCCTGACCACCCGATCCTGTTAGTCGCCTCTCAACACAAGGATGAATTACTTAAGACCAGTTCTAGTTTGGTATTACGCCCCTTCACAAATGTTCTTTTACTTCATGTTATTTTCAGATGAGAGATTGCATCGACTTACCTCTTTTTCTACACGTTCCTTGTCGCCTGTAAACAAATAAAATCAGAGGTTAGAGTTTTTCACACGTACGCCCTTTGTGGCTACTGACAATTCTATCATTGATGTGTGAGGCTTCAGTACTGTGTTGCCAGTCTAGTTTGTCATTGACTTTTCAATAAATGTATAAAACGTTTCACAAAATACACTAATCGTACAATATGAACTTACTGACAACGGAACCTAAACCTAGATATACCATATGCAACAGTAAGCTGATCTGTGATATCCTACAGAGATTTGAATTTGGACAAAACAGTGGTAGTCTCCACAGGGGATGTACAGATATCAACTTGTACTGCTCTGGTGGTGCATGATCTGCTGCTTTCATATGGTTCCCTGTTGTGCTACACTGTTTATAATCTACTAGGAACAATTCCGAAACATCTGAACACAATTGAAATCTGTATTTTTGCGAATGTATACAGCACCTCACGTAGGTGTTTGAAAGTGAAAAAATCAAAAGCATCATTTGACCATTGGCACCATTAATAGTATTTATTCACCTTGTGCCTGGACCACGTTGATGTTGGTGTTGCCAACTCCACCATCAACACTTCCTGCAGCGTTAACCGTCTGTATGGGTCCTTGTGTGTTTGGTTTAACCTGGATATTCTGGGGACTGGGTTGAGGAGGGTTGCTGTTCTGATTACCCATGGTTGTGGTGGTCGGTCGAGGTCTGCCCGCACTGTCTAGAACAGGAGCACGATGTGTTGTGCCACCGTAGTAATGATTCTTTAATTAAATCATGACATGCCACAATAGACTGGCACATTGTACTCAGACCCTGATATTACATTTATCCAGATAATCCACTGAAGCATTGTTCTTCTCATGATTGATAACAACATGCCCCCATATTAAGTTAACATGACAGTCTCATGCTCTGTACTTAGGCTGCTCAATTTAACCGGTATACTGGTATTTCCCGGTTCAGACATGAAAACGATACGTATTGCGATACGGTGATCCAAAACAGGAATTTTGACATGCATTCGGAAATCTTGGTAACAATCGGAAAACATCGGATACCTCCATTTTTCACACCGAAAGTCAAGTTAAGGTCGGTTTGAAATAGTGTTCTTAATTTTTGTTCAAGTGTTTTGCACTGTTTTGGACCTGAATGTTTTAAATGCACTTCCCATAAAAAGGTTTAGACTTCTAAGTGTAAATGTAGCCACTTACTTCTCGCAGCTGTTCTAAACTAAATTTTGGAAGAAATTTCAATACTGTTCAAAGGTACTGTTTACACATGAACTGATGTATTGTAAAACAAACTCGTACAGTTGAACAGCTTATTGTCATGAGTTCAAGAAATGATAAAACTCAGTGACAATTAGCGAATTTTTAACAAACCTTTACACCAATACGCAGCTGTACAACTACTGTGCAAATATAGACAACTACTTTGCAAATATAGACAACTACTTTGCAAATATAGACAACTACTGTGCAAACATAGATAACTAATGGTGTCTCCTCTATCGGGAGAGTTAGTTTTGTAAAGGGACAGGGTAGGTTATACCCTCTGATCCTTGGATGAGCATGTGAACGTATTCTATAGCGGCTCCCTGTAACAACATACATCCAGTTGTGCAATCTGTTCAGTACAAGTTTATGCTTGCTGTACACAAACGTGTCTTCACGGTAGGTGTTAGGTTGTGGGTGGTGTGAGGGCATAGGAGAGTGAGCAAAGCTTGTCAGAGGGGTGGGGCGGCCTCCAGCCCAACACAGCTGAAGTGACAATGTTGAGGAAGTGCCATGAAGCCATACCGGGCCAAATCAATGCTCACTGAAATAAATGTGTGTGTAGATCTACAGACACGGAAGAAAGTGCAGATACACCTTTCCCACTACTCTCAAAGGTAAAGAAACATGGTGTCAATACAGTCATTCTACAGCTTGATATTGAAGGATATTAGTGTATATTAGATCCGTGTAGAAACGGCAGGAAATGAAAGAAACTCTCTCCTTTGCATTTCGCTCCAATATACTGACACCCGGTGTCACTACTGCCACAGTACAGCAACGCACCGCTTGAAAGGAGTGAGTGGGCCTGACTGTATTGATCTAGACAGGCACAGTAGCAAATACAGACACTACCCTTTTCCCGCTATGCTGTACTATACAGACACCCGGTGTTATTCCTGCCACGGTACGGTAATGTGCCGCTTAGTATCGGGGAGTGAATGGTGTGTGTTGGGATCTAGCGCGGGGTTCAAGTGCGTATCTTTCGTCCCACTTTATATCAAAAGCAACTTAAACGTCACAGATGTATCGTGAAACATGTTGATAAATGCAACCTCATTTCCCCGTACTTTCGCTTTCACATGATAGATGTCATTGAGGCCCTGACGATCAAATTCAGATTGAAAGTTCCATCTCTCTTATGACAAAATGTTTTTTTATTTATTCAGCATTTATTGAAAACTATTCCTTGTACTGTTTCTATATATTTATTCTTACCTATTTGCATACTGCAATTAATAGGGCTGCACGGTATTGCTGGTATACCGGTAAACCGCAATACGAAATTGTAACAATTACGTGTCGCAATGTGTTTATGACGTACCGGTATACCGCCAAAGATTTATTTGTTCATTTTTAACCCATTCAACACCGCACGTGACTTTCGCCCGTATACACCCTAAAAAGTAATGGCGAGGAAAAATATATATGTGTATATTCAGGTAATATGGTTGGTGGTGGTGGGTGGGGATTGGGCGGAAGTCTTTCCAAATGATTGGCAACGGGTTCACTTCAAAATCGTCAAAGAGCAAAGTGTGGACGTTTCGAGGAAATCATTAAAATTGTATAAACTTATGAATAAAATCAACAGTTTTCTTAAAAGTTCTCAAACGTACATCTAAGTTACTATTTCCATCTTTTCGTGCGATCACGTTATGTAAGTCAAGTGACATCTCGGCTTTCGTCTCCTCGATCTTCATGCTCGGACACGATGTTTAATGTTACATTTGCATAAAGAACATTTGTCACAGGTCGCCACCTAGCACGATACGTCCAATAAGTTCCATAATTTACGTATATATGGCGATTTGTTGCTTAACACGTTCAGTTTATGAGGACGGTATCTATTGCTGTAATATGATTGGCTTACGAGCATGATTTTTCCCAATCACGAACCTTATAGCAGACTGTGGAGAAAAAGCGTCATTAGAAACCAGTCTTTATCCAATAAAATCACTTCTTACAACTGCGAAAATACTCCTGGCAAGGTTACTGTGATATCATTGATGATTAGATCTTTGGAACAATACCCGCCAACAAATGAATCTTCCAGAGTGTTGTTCATACGGAGCTTCGAAAATGGAGGCATTTCCCAATGTTGTGTCATGTTACCGGATGAAAGCCACGGTTATCGGGAAATAGGCGACCATACATATTATTTAATTAATCTTTATATAATAATTTTCTGATAACCTAAAAATGAAAATATAAAAGAAATAGGTAAGAGGATATTATGGCATCTTACAAATGGATTAAAATAACGGGAGTTTACGTCTCCTTCGTGGTTTATATGGACATTTTAAGTGTGTAAATTTGTATTACTATTAGAAATGAATTTAAGTTGAAGTTGTATCATTTGAATAATATGATAAACATACATATGGTATTTATCTACAGTTGGATTAGACCTAAAACTTTAAATGGTGTATGACATAGCAATTATGTTTCACGAGCTGATATTTTCCTTGATAAACGTAGGCTTCTATGTTATTATTAGGTTATGTTTCTCACGTTTCATTTTTTTCATTATTCTATTCAGTCTAAAGAAAGTTTACTTTACCTGATACAGAGTGGCTTTTGCCCATCGTGAGTGTTTTGTTAAATCATTTCTTTATGTGAATGTGAACCAAACGTCATTCATGAAATAGGTATTGTTAATAATACTTTTATTCAAAGACAAAGGTGCATAAATCATCGTTTTGATGAGAATGTGCACCGCAAGATCATGTCACATGAGTGTGACTTCAATTAAATTTTTCTTGAGTAATACAGATGTGTACAGTAAATTCTGAACTGTTTCAATTATTTGAAATTCAACATCCTTTGCTGTTTAAAAAAGTTAAAGTATATAGATAGTATGGGTGGGTCGATGGAGGACATGGTGTAAGCTAGTTTCAGTTGAATTTGTCACATATAATATGAAATGAGATATGATATATTTATCTGCGTTAACTTTCCTTTAGACAGCAGTTACAATTAAAAGAAAGACTTGTTGAAAGTTATTTTATAGCAAACCGTAGGGCTAGTAATATTTGGAAAGGACTAGTGACATACAAACTACACTAGCCCGGAGGGCCTGTTAAAACATTTAGAGAGTGTTGATCCCTGCTGTTTTAAAATAAAAATATAACAGAAGAATGTTCTGGATTTTCCTTTTGTCACTTTGAAAGCAGCTATACAATGCACAGTGGTTACTCACATATACTGTGATTCAATTTGAAGGTAAAATAATATTACAAAGTGGACAGATCTCAATAACTGTTCCTTCACAATATATTGCAATACGTATCACAATACAGAAGAGTGTATCGCAATACAGAAGAGTGTATCGCAATACAGAAGAGTGTATCGCAATGTATCGCAACACGAAAACTTTGGGGCAATACACAGCCCTAGCAATTAAGTTTGTAATTGTTTTGCTGCTGGGATGGGATCAATTTGCTGGTTTATCAACTGTTTTCCACAAAATATAGACATGTTGTGTGCTTAAAATAGGCTATTGCCCAGTCATTAAGGGCAGTGGGGCGGTAGGGTAGCTCAGTGGTTAAAGCGTTCGCCGAAGACCCGTGTTCGTTTCGACACATGTGTTCAATGTGTGAAACCCATTTCTGGTGTCCCCTGCCACAGTATTGCAGGAGCATTGATAAAAGCGGCGTAAAACTAAACTCATTCACTCACTCACTGTTGTGGCAACTTGATTGCACTTACACAAGGGGTAATTTAGGAAGCTTACTACAGGCAGAATGAGATATATGAATGATAAACTTTATTACTACTACCATGGAAACGAGGTATTACTGTAGGTTCTCACACCGTTCTCAAGCAAGCAATATAGAAAGACAGAAAAAATGAGCTGCTTAGCTTACAGTTGATTGGATTAGAATAGAGTGGAGAAGCCAATTAACTGCAAAATGAGATCTGATTTTAGACATAATCGCTAAGAAATTAAGCCTGCAGTATACACAGGGATTATGACTGATGGATGTTGATGAGTTGATGGTAAGCTGGGATGTAATATCCTTAATTGGTGATGAGTCTTTAGATGCAGATTGCTTCTTGGAGTTTTTTTATTTAGAAGTCTTCGAGGCTGGTTGTTAGGATTTTCTCCCACTGGGTGCTGTTGTCGTGAATGGCTTGGAGAGGTCTAATAAGGCTGACTTGGAGTCATGTTTTGAAACTAAGGTATGATGTTATTCGGGTTGTGAAGGGTCTGGATGCTTCACCAACGTAAGTGATCGCCTTGGTTGTTGCTGTTGGGTAGTTGGGGGTGTGGGGGTGTTCCTGTGGTTTTAATGGTGTGCCACTACACCTGTTGAAAACTACATCTATACTGACCCGTTTCTTTAAACGTCTCTGGGGTTTATAGCTAACCGTTGTATTGTAGGGAAGGCTGATCGCAAAGGGTGTTGATTGTTAAGCGGGACGTGGTAAGGAAGGGTTTGGA